AAAAGTATCCTGCGCAAACTATGCTAATGGAACATGATCATCTGTTAGCCCTTATAACAAGCGTATCTCCAAAAGTACCCTGCGCAAGTTCTGCTAATGGAACATGATCATCTGTTAGCCCTTATAACAGGCATATCTCCAAAAGTATCCTGCGCAAACTATGCTAATGGAACATGATCATCTGTTAGCCCTTATAACAGGCATATCTCCAAAAGTATCCTGCGCAAACTATGCTAATGGAACATGTTCGTCTGCCCTCTAATAGCATCTTCAACAAATTCACATACATGAAACATATTTAGAGCCCAATAAGATGTTCAAAATTACAAACAAAAATGTCACATCTTAAAATTTTACAGAAGTAAACTTTGTGGACAAAGCGCATGTTTAATACATGGATATGTGACGGTTCCATTAGGATATCTGGTTACACATGCTAGTTAGAAAGTAGGGATCTTCTAAAACTTGAGGTATCATGTTTTCTGTAATGATTTCACGAGCAAAAACTTTTGTTTGGATCAACTAATTATAGCCAATTATTTTTTTATGTTTTTCAGGAAAGAAATATGTAACTGCAAACAACACTCTCGTCATTCGTAATGTATCCAAAGATGATGCGGGAAATTACACCTGCCGAGCTTTCGTAGTTACTAGCATGACCTCACAGACTAAAACAATAGTGATCAATGTTAAAGTGAAGTGTAAGTTTTATTTACAACTAAAAATCTGGTGTAAAGAATCTGGTGCAAGGCTTTTATACATGAATATTTTTAAAATAACTTTATTTGATATCTTCATTTTCAGTACTATTTGACAATCGCTAAATCTATGTAGACATTTGCATTTTTCTATGATACATAGATACTTAGTATAAGATACTCATCGTTTTTCAGTCATGACATAATAATTTTCACCCAAATCGGTTTTCGATACCTAGGCTGAGTAGGATAGACATAAACCATTGTGTAGCTTTGTGCTTAAAAACAAACAAGATAAGACAAGATACATGTTTTCATACTGAGATAAAAGAACGGATTTCCTTCACATTATATGCGATAAATTGTAAAACAAAAATAAACTAAGAAAATTGAACTGGTTAAGTAAGGTGGCTAAAACATGGTTTAATAAAATAACAAGTTAAAACAAAATAAATAACTAACAATATCATGTTATCTCCGAGAAGAGATGTACAAAAAATGTCTGAATCTTACTTGAAGAAATATGTAGAAGATAGTGTTGACTTTTGTTTATCGTCATAATGAGTTTTACCTTATTATAAAAGTTGAAATACCTTACGGTTATATATAATATATTCTGTTACAAACATATGTATTCAATATAAAGAATACTCCACTCGGAAGCATCCTTGTAGTTTCTTATGTTTCATAGTTCTTTTAACAATTAAAAAATCACGTATTGAGGATTTCAAAACACGTATCACCTGGGCTTAACAGAAAGTTCAGTTCATTTTTAATTATAAATATAATCGTGCTTTTATTTTACTTATACTGGTCATTTCATTCATAAGTAGTTGGAAACATATCACTCTCATAAAGTAAAAGGTGTAGACAGAAAAAGTAAAATAGTTTGAAAACATGTCACTCTCATAAAGTAAAAGGTGTAGGTAAAAAAGTAAAATAGTTTGAAAACATGTCACTCTCATAAAGTAAAAGGTGTAGACAGAAAAAGTAAAATAGTTTGAAAACATGTCACTCTCATAAAGTAAAAGGTGTAGGTAAAAAAGTAAAATAGTTTGAAAACATGTCACTCTCATAAAGTAAAAGGTGTAGACAGAAAAAGTAAAATAGTTTGAAAACATATCACTCTTATAAAGTAAAAGGTGTAGACAGAAAGTAAAATAATATAAACTTAAATTAACTTATTTCTGTTTTCTTGACAATTTTTAACTAACTAAGTATACGAAGAACCTTAGTTAAGGAAATCTTTTACTAAAAAGTTCAGTCTTTGGAGGATTTTACTTGCACAAGAAAACTTTCGGAATGAAATGCCTAAGCCAAGCTTATATTAGACGTTTGTGAAGTCTGTGTGTTTAGATGGTTTTACTTATTAAAATATTCTTTCCCTTTACGTAAATTAAAATATCAATATCAACTACTGTTAGCTTTAAGAAACTTTGAGGTTTCGAACAAATAATCTTCATTTTCTGGTAAAAATTACCAGATGCTGGTCAAAAGAAACATATTGTAGCCACAAGATCTAGAAAAAACGTATGTATGTTACTTACTCTTTCTTTACTTTTTCTTTTACTGCACAAAGTATCTAATGGTAACTAGCCTTATGTGGTAGTTTTTAAATAGTTCTTACCACCTTCACGTAATATGAATTTTCGTTCGATGGAGCCTAACTTGTTCTCTGATTGGCACAAATAATCACCAAATACACTGTCATTGTAGACATTGACCTGTAGAAACAACAAAAGAATAAAGTAATACGTGACATGCCCAAATGGTTATAAAAATGTACAACAAAATAAGGCTCATTACAAAATTATAAATATCATACTGTATTTTTTGTAATTATAAATTAAGCTTTCGTTTCGTTTCTTGGAAGAAAAATCTGAGGTAATGGATAACATAATTTAAATCTTCAATATAACAAAAACATTATAACTCTATTCTTAAAAAAAAATACTTTGCCAAGTTAATGTTAAGTAACCTGGCGTCAAGTATTGTTTATGAAATTACGTATTATTGTGATTCGTTACAAAGTTTGAAAGAGAAACGTGTTAATATAATGCGTTAAACATATCAAGTAGATGTTAACGTGGAGATGCATGGAATAGTGCAAACGTAGCTGTAGTAAGATCTTTGTTATATACCTTGAAGTACATTACAACATACATATAAACATAGAAAAATATATATATATATGGTTAAAAAACAGAAGCTCGTAATGTATTTTTAAAGGCATCATATTTGCACAAAACTGTACTTGTGAAAACTGTAACAATTTCTTCAACAATTCGAGTATTTGCATTATTATTTATTGTGAAATGTATTATAACATACACCATTACAGAACTGTGAAACATATTAACTATACAACATACGTATCTAGATATACATTTTTATTTAGTTACGTAATTAAAACAACACATGCATTTACCTTTTAAGCCTTTTGATTATCAACATAGGTGTATTACATATCCACGTTTGATATTGTTTCAGGACGTAAGCTTACAGTTTTATTATAAAAAAAGTTTTATAATTTCTTATAAGAATTATAAAGCATCTATTCTCTGTGGATATTCTCTACATGATAGAAATAAAAGTTAGGTAGAAAATGTACAAATAAAGATATCTATCTCCATTGGCAATGAGGGGGATTAATAATGCTATTTCAATATCTAGGATCTCTGGCAGGAATACAACATCTCTTCAAAAATGCTATCTTCGTGCAAAACATTAATGATTCTGAAACCAAAGAAATAGAAAGGATGAAAAGTTCAACGAAAGGTTCTATTTTAACTAATCTAAAAATCGACATTAAAATTTCTAGTCTATAGGCTAATTTTATGTAGAAAAAGTTCAGGTGTTGAATTAGCGTCTAAAACTAAAACACTAGAAAACGTGGAGGGGAATTACTTATCTAAGTGTTTACTCAGAACAAAGTTTTATGTTACTAATAATTGTATGAGATAACTATATTTCTGTTGTAACACACATGTTTATTGATGTTACCAATAGGCGAGATTTGAGACCAAGACGTGGTAGGGCCAAAAAAAAGTCTGACTTAATTGTATACTATATTCCACAGAAAGAAATCAGTCAAACGCCCCCTTACTCCCCCATAATCCCGCTTATGAATGCTGCTAGTGATACTGCATGTATTAGCATTTGTTACCATGTGTTACCATTACCTGCAAGATGCTCGTGTTGGAATCTGTACGAAATATTTTGTAGGTAGAACTCTCTTCGATCACGTCCTCATCTCTCATCCATTCAAACGATGGAATAGGGTTACCATCAGCTTCGCATGTGATATTCACAGTGGAGTCAACGCTGGAATAAATAATCTCGGACTCCGGGGTTTTCGATTCTGGAGGGTCTAAAAATATTATTAAATTTATTACTTATCACTTGTCAGTGGTATAAGCGTCAAGTGACATAAACTCTCAAATTCTTGTCTTGTTTGCCTAACTTTAACTACTGATGAGATCCAAATATTGCATCATAGTGAGTATCCAATAATTTGTTTGTCTGTTATAACACTCGTAAAACACATATTAAACCCCAGCCGTAATTAGTGAGATTAATTCTAATATTGATGTTATGTTTGTTAAAAAAAATTATTTGACTCATATGTATCCACCAAAGTTTCCTCCCCAGTGGTTCAGCGCTGTCTTATAAAGCTAAAACCCGGGTTTTGATACCTTGGTAGGAGCTTTGTGCTTAATCAAAACCAATCCAACAAAGTCACGGACCCATAAACCACGTGGTACAAAAATAACTTAGAAAAATGTGTTTGAAAAGTTGATTGGATTCCTCCGAGCCTCCTCAGTAATCTTAAGAGTTAAGCCACTCTACGGAATTAAAAGTGAAAATAGTACTTACCCACACAAGAAAAACTTTGTACTCGAATAACATGAAACAATAAAAAGTTGGGAGAAAAACGTCATGCCACACGAATTAGATTAGTTAAAATTTTGTAACCCAGATCTAAGATGTTACAGTTTGTCACCCTCATCATGCTGTAAAATGCTGCTTCTCCTTTTATTATTGTTTTACATCAATAGACTAAAAGGTAGTTACTTGTTTTAATATTTTTTCGGATATGATGTAAGAGGATCGTGTTTTTATATATGGCATACGGAACCTTTCTCCCACCACGGTGGCTCAGCGTTAAGTCTAAGAGCTTATAACGCTATAATAATGGCTGGAAACGGCTTGAATGGGTAATGAAGAAAAACTTTAATATAAGTTTAACATAACAGCAAATGTACAACGTTTCGACAAGGTTTTGTCATCATCAGATACCTTTTAAAGTTTTTTATACTGGTTTAAGTTTTTCGAT